GCCCCGAATCCAACAGCGAGGACGTCACGTTCACGTACACGCGCTCGCCACTCCCCTTGATCGACAGGCCAATAAAGACACACTGCAGCAGCGTAATGTTGAGGGTCTGCTGGGGCGCGGCGAAGCTCGACAGGTCCAGGACGATTGCGGCGGTAAAGGTCACATTGACGAAGCACAGCCCACGCACCCCGGGAGTGGGGTCGCCCACGGCCCTCATCCTGCCGCCGTACACGCAGTGAACCTCCGTGTTATTCGCATCGGGGAGCGGAAGAGGCCCAAGGCCGCCCGGGACCGCCGCCGGCAGACACGTGTCGCCGTAACCGCCAGCAGCGCACATGCAGTGGCAGCTGCTGAAGCCGCTCGTCCTCGCGGTGAAGCACACGGCGTCCTTCGCACACGCGCCGCAGTCCAACGCCGTCACATTTTTGACGCCGAGCTCGTCTGCGTAGTTCTTCACAGCAGAGCCCTGCTTCTCGTTGCACATGCCGTAGATGGTCGGTGCCAAAAACTGCGACACTGCCGGCGAGTTTGTCATGTATGCAGATTGCGAGTACGAGCCGTGCCCAAAGCTGTTGCGGAGTATCGACCACACACTCCGGTCGCTGACCGACAGGCCGGAGTCCTGAGCCACGTAATTAACGTAGGCGACGCGGAAGTCGTTGTCGCGGTGCACCAGCCAGCTGTCGCCACTCACGGTCAGCCTGTCTGCGATGAGCATTGCAAAGCCAAGATGGAAGCTGCTGGACACAAACTGCAGCACGCTGCCACCGCCCACCACAACGCCCTTAAACACACACGCGGCCCCGTAGTAGCTGCTGCTCGCGCCTCCCACGAGCTGTTCTGCACCGAGAACACAGAGCCGCCGCTGATGCTCAGGTCCGACTCAAGGGAGTACATCACATACAGCTCCGAGGCGGCGGCGCAGTTGTCCATGTAGAAGGCACTTGACTGGTTTGCGCTGAGGCCGTGCTCCACAAGGATCGCAGCACACGAGCTCCCCTCGCACGCCAGCGTCGACCGCGTCACGACAAACTGCGTCGACAGCAGCCGGACGCCGTCGAGGACAAGCGCGGGGCCGTACCTGGACTCCTCGGACCCGGCGGTCGTCGGCACGTACTGCGACCCGCCAACCGTCGCGCGCAGCGACGAGTTCGCCAGCAGCACACTCGAGTTGAGCGGCATCGCCCCCCGCAGCACAATCGTGCCCTCCGTCGACGTCACGTTTGTCATGTTTACGACGGCGCGGGGCATCAGGCGCGCCATGCCCCCGCCGGGGCCCACAATCTGCAGCTGCGCGCCGCCCGCAAGCACGCAGTGGCGCAGCGTCACGTTCAGCAGGGCAGCGAATGGGTCCATCGAGCCCAGCTCCACCGTCACGGTGATCGGCCCGCTGAACACCACTGAGTCGAAGCATGCCGTCGCCTGGCCGCCCCCAACCGCCATGGACTCCGTCAGCGTCACGCCGCGCACGCAGCCCTGCGCGCCACCACCACCACCGCCCTTCGAGAGCGGCACGTCGAACGGCAGGCACGCCGACCCCACGCCGCCGGCGCTGCAGTTGCACGCGCAGTCGGAGAAGGAGGCCGTCAGCGCACTGAAGCAGGCCAGCGCCGGCGCGCAGCTGTCGCACGGCACCACGCTCACGGAGGGCAGACCCACCAGCCGGTAGTCGCCGCTGCTCCGCAATACCTGGCCGCCGGCACGGTTGCACTGCACAGACACCGTGCCGCTTGTGATCTCCGGCCCGGAGACAAACGTCGCGCCGCCGGCAACGCAGCGTGCAATCGACACGGCGCCGCCGCTCAGCGTCACCCCCGACAGGGACGCCACTGACGCCTCGCCCACCGCCCATACGCCGTACAGGTCCAGCCACCCGCCGGCCCCGATCCTCCCTCCGTCGCAGTGCACCAGCGAGGACGTGACCGACCCGCGAATACCCACGAAGCGCAGCACGGAGCCGGACAGCGCGAGGTTTCGCCCGAGCACAAAGCCGCCGCCGCTGCTCGCCACCGATACGTTCGTCAGTGAAAACACCGACCGACCACGCAGACTGAGGCGCGACGCGAACGCCACGCGCATCGCGTGTGCAGTGGAACCGCCCGACGCCTCCAGCAGCACGCCGTCAAGCAGCACTGCGCTCGACAGCAGGTCCACGCCGCCGCCAACGTACATCGCCGACCCGCCCGCGCACGACGACCCCAGCACAGTGTTGTTCACACGCAGCTGCGTCTGCGAGAGCGACGTCGCGTGCAGTACAAGCGGCGACGCCACTGCGTCCTTCAGCCCGCCGATTTGCGAGTAGCTCATCGGACCCGGCGTCAGCACCCTCGAATCACGGACCGTCACGCTCGTGTGTGCCGGCAGGTTGTACGCAAACACGAGCGCGCAGTAGCTCCCATTCAGCCCGCTCACGCCCATCTCCAGGCTCCGGTCGCTCGCCGGCTCGCCGCGGTAGCCCTGCACGTAGATCTGCGCCCCGCCGTCGCACACGCAGTTCCTCATATCGATGCGCAGCGCACCGGGCAGCATCGCCGCAACGTCGAACACCACGGACACACCGTTCGTCACGGAGACGCCGTCCATCAGCACGGCGTCCACGGCGCGGCCAACGGTGATGGACCGGTCCACCGTGCCGCCCTGCATCCGGAAAGACACGGCGTGTGCCGTGGGCATCCAGGCGTCCGCGGCAGCGAGCGCCAGCACCACGAGCAGCGCCACAGGCACAGGCGTAATGGTCCCGCGCCGCACGCGGTGCCGGGTGCGGCAACACCCACGCCCCGCAGTCCACATCCACCGAGCCAAGCAGAGATCGCCCGGGCTGCCGTGGCCCGTCAAACTTGCCTCGCTTACTGCACCTCCGGCCTGGCGCATAAATTCCCACAAATGACGAATCGAGATAAACTAATTCGATAGATGATTCGCCTCCACTTCCTACTATAACTCCGGCTATAATTAAACCTTACTACTTTGAATCGATAGTCTTGATTGCCAACACTGAGTCTCTCTTTCTGCGCAGTCAAAAAGAGGGAGGAGGCAGCGGCAGCAGTGACTGAGCACCGTGGCACGCAGAGACACCCCGACACAGACACACCCCGTACCAACGGCGCCCCCGTCTTCTGGCGGCCCACGCAGCATCACTCACCCATCGCACGAATGGGGGAAAAAACCGGCAAAAGACTACTCGACTACTGCCACCGCTCCTGCGCCCGAATGGCTTCACCACAGGGCGACCTCGATGCCGTGGAAGACACGCAAGGACAGATGCAGACCCACTTGGCCGTGCCATGGCCCCCAGCCGTCAGACACGGGGGACAAAATGGTCCACATCAATTGTGCGGTCTCACTGACTCATAGGCGTCCGGTTTGTAATCACGCAGCTGCTGTACCGTGCCTCTGCGATATTCTCTCACAGGAGCCCGTGATCAACGCGGCCGCTGGCACCCGACACGCTGTCCAGCAGGCTCAGTACGTCTCGGTGGGCGTCACCGTGCGGTGGCCGCGACGGACGCCCAACGACAGGCGGGGCGTTCTCGTAGTTGCCAGCGACGCGTTCCTGCCGCAGCTGTGCGGGCACACGGTACGACGATGACGCCTTGTCGTAGGGCCTTTGCGCGTCGCTGTCGCTCCCCTCGTCATCGTTGAGCATCGCTTCCAGCGCCCCACGCTGCGGCTCGCGCAGGTGCCGCCAGTGGTGCTCCTCCACGTACCACACAACCGCGCTGTACACCGTGAT